CTAGGAGGCATGGTTTCTGGTTGAGGGCAGGGTGTATAAAGTCTTCCAGTTGTGGTAGGGGGGATTTAGAGAATCATGGGAGTGGAGTGAGTACTGCTTTACAGAAGGCCTGGAGGACTGATCTGTTATACAGACAAAATAGTAGCTGCTCCATCCATGTACCTTTTGTCACTCTAAAGAGGGAAACTTTATCCCACCTGGAGGCTATCCCTTTCAGAGCCCTTTGAAACTTTGTATGTTATGTCTGTCTACACTTAGTGTAAAGCCAAGAAACCACAAATTTGGATATTTTAAGGTACCAAATACAGAAGAATAACTGCAGAATGCCATCACAACTTAGTAACAAATTTATTTATTAGTTTTATATGCAACCCTCGCCCAAAAATGTTCAGTGGCTTACACTAAAAGACAAAATAACTTGCAGAGGTGGCTAGTACAGCCATATTAAAAAAGTAAGGTGCTAAAGTCTGGTTAAGCACAAATAACAGAATTGGAGCCCCTAAGGCTTCCTAGTTGCACCCGGGGAAGACCGCTCTGCTGGCATGGGATAGTACTTGCATAGGTAATGCACAGTTAACCGTGCCTTTATGCTCATTTTTTAGAAATGGGGGATTCCTCCCTAGCTTGCTCCTGGGGCCTTATGGCTAAAAGCAAGCAAAACTTGGGGGCATCCAAACCCCAAGCCTCTGGGCTTGGACCTGCAAGTAGGATGCCTGCCAGAGGATTTGAGAACACTGAAGCCCCAGATGGGGGTGGAGGATGTTTGCTGGTAATAGGGCCCCGCGTGGTTCAGGACTGATTCATGAATTTGGAATTTGTTTTGGCTAATTTGGTTTGGGATATGGAAAATTTAAATAATAAATTGGAGACACTAAGAAAGTAAGGTGCAAAAGTGTAAGATAAAGAGGAAGTGTTGCCACTGTAAATCAGTCAAAAGGGTAATAGTGTAACACAATATGAATAGTGCTTCTCTGGCATAGTAATGGTGGGGAAGAGTTCCATGCGGAGGATTTTCTGCTAATCTACAGAGCAGTGTCCTGTTTTGCCTACTTCCCAGTTGTGAATGGCAGTTGTTCTTTATTGCTTTTCTTCTTTGTGTAATTGTAGTTGTGGTGTCTTCTTCGGGCTTATTAATAGAGGTATTTTAGGTGGAACACCCTGAGCCACACAGAACAATTCACTGCAGTAATACTGCATGTTAAATTGTAGTTAATTAGTGTAAATAGTGCAGATTAGGTTACATCCCCCTACCTGTCATTTCTAAGTACAGTATTTAGACATTGACTCCAGCTTCTGAACAGCCTATGATGCCAGTCTCCAGTGTCCACTTACTGAATGTACAAGCAGGCATCTTTGGTGTTCTCTTACCCTGCTGCCATGGATGGAGCTCTCATAAATGTATACAAATCTACATCGTGGGGCTTCATATCCCTCCCTAAATATGTCCTTTGTAATGAGGCATACAACAAAATTAACTATAGCTGTTCTGTTGAGACCATTCGCTGCTGACCAAGTATTTAATTGCTTTTTTGTATTATATTCTTTATAGTAAAAACTGCTTTGAGTCGGTCCTTGAATATTTATCTTGTAGGTAAGGTGTGTAGTATGAAAGTAGTAAAATGTAAAGGGGTAGGTAGGTAATTCACTTCAGCTTCAAATGTGAATGCTTTCATCTGTGTGTCCCTCCCTCACTCAAATCTTCTAATTCTGTGTTTGGAGTTTGCTGCTTCAGGCAGCAGAGTCCTCCAGTGCTGACAGAGGTGGAGCTTGGGGGTAGAAGGTGAGGTGAGTGTTGCATTCTGGGGTGTCTAGAGGACTGATCTATCATATGATCTATCATACAGACAAAATAATAGCTGCTCCATGTACATTTTTGTCACTCTTTGGGGTGCAGGTTTCTTACACGTAGATTATTGTGGCTTTCATTTTTCATAGCCTGTCCTAAGAGGGCTGGCTCATCTCTGCCTGAAACATTCAGAGGTTACAGTATTGCATTCTAGGATCCTTTACTTCAGGGGCCTTCTTTGGCTTTTTTTAAATTGCTGTTTGTATTGTTTTAGGAAATGTCTATTACTTAAGATAATAGTTGTGGGGTTGAGCAGCACCTTTTTTTTTATATTGGCTTTCTGGCAGTGTTAAATATTTTAAGGTTTTTCTGAATTAATATTTGCTTTACACTATTTCCTTTGCCTAATTGGAATTTCATATCTTAATTAAGGCCAGTGCAAGTTCCCTAAAAAAAAATTCTCGAGTTTTGTGTAAGTGTTAATTGCTATTAGTCTTCAGAGTTTTAACTTGCAACTTCACTCTCAATCCAGTATGTGGCAACAACAGTTTGGATTTAGTAGGGTGCTTAAACTCTACCTAACTTTAAATACATATGTAATCCTATCTGTAAGTTGAGCATTTAGCATATGCTTAACTTTTTTTTAACTCTTATTGGGACTTGAACATGATTTTTAGTGCTGCAGGGATGTAATAATTCAAGAATTTAGGTATCAAACTGAGTTTGGGATCATGATGATATTATAATTTTGATATCTTCAGTTGGTTTCCTCATATTTTCGAATATAGCCCTGACAGTTCACTATCTTCGTACTTTTGTTGTTTGCAGTGATTGAAAACTATCCAAGGCCCTGAAAATTAGCTCTGATAGTATATAATAGGGGTGGGCAATTATTTGAGCTGGAGGGTCACTTAGGGAGTTTTGGTGAGTTGTTTCAGGCTGGGTCAGCACCTCCTCTTCCCCCATCCTGCAACAGCTCACCAAAACTCCCTAAGTGCCTCTGTCCTGGGGCCCAACCCAGTCCCATGCTGTCACCACCTGGCAATCTTGGGGTCTCCATGGAGAATGGCCTGGGACCCGCACAGGCAGAGTCCTCAGCTGGGAGGATAGGATGGGGCCATGGGCAGGTGGGGAGCGGCATCCGGAAGTGGGAAGGGCAGGCAGGGCATGGGCATGGACTAGGATCCTGAGGTGGTAACAGCATGGGGCTGGAGCCTGGGGCAGAACCACAATCAGTTTCCCACAAACTCCAGCCTGTCCCAGGGATGTGGGCATTAGATTGTGGCTTTGCCCTGGTGTTACGCTGTCACCACAAGATCCTGTTGCTGGCCCCGGCTGCCTATTCTGCTCCTAGATGCTGCTGCCATCTCATCTGCCCAGCCATGTGCCGTGCCCGCGTGGGTCCTGGGCCAGTCTTCATGGAGACCCTGCCCACCCACTCTGTCCACACTCCAATGGTGGGTATAGGGTGGACAGGCTGGTATGCCTGGGCAGCGGGGCTGGGTCTGCCAGCAGCTATGGAGACTGGTAGCACCAGCTGGAAAGAGCCGCTGCTGCGGGGGCTGCCAGGAAGCATGGCCAGTTGCCACATCGCCTCAGCTCCACTACCACTTGAGGGCAGTGGGACTGGCCGCACATACTGCAGTCTAGGCTGCCACCTGCACCTGGGCCGGGCTGGGCCAAGGGACCCACTGCAGGCCAGACAAAATCCTTTGGTGGGCTGGGTCCAGCCCCTGGGCTGGATTTTGCCCACCCATGGTATAGAAGATGCTTTGTGTGCAGATTGGTTCACAGATTTTTAGTTTTTGCTTTTTTATTTGTGCATTTTCTCCCTCTGGATAGTAATTCATTTCTACACAACTGTGGATCTATCACAAATCACCTGGATTTGACTTAAATCCTGGTTGTAGCAATTTCATATAAATTTGTTGTTGCTTATCCTAAGGCCATGTCTTTTGAACCACGGGATTCAGAATTAGATTAATAAAATTTGAGGCCAACATATGAGAATTTGTACAAAATAAATCTTTGTAGTTTGTGAAGAAGCCAGAATAGGGAAATTGGAAAGCGCTGTCTAGAACATCGGCTACTTTTACAAGGATCTAGAAAGTAACAAATGGTTGATGGTACAGCAGACAACTCTGTCCCCAAGATCTGAAATGTTTAATTAAATCAAGTTCTTGTGCACCATTTTGTACAGGCCGCTTTGCAAGTATTATGGTAAGCACTAAAAAAAAATAAAAGTAGTTAGAGGTGTCCAAACAGTTTAGAGCTAAAAAACCTCAAGAGTATTAACATGTTTGGCTGAGATTGTAGAAACATACCCTGACCCTTTTTGCCAGATGTATTTTAAAAGCAGTGAATGCAGGTAATTGTGGAAAGCTATCTTGTTCTTTCTATTTTATCTCGGGAGAATAATTGATTGCGAATTAGTTGGTTCATCAGAGACGTGGGTTTTCTGGAAATTTTGAATTGGAGAATTTTGTGGAACATTTTTCAGCGCTCTAAATAGAGCGTGATCTGATCTTTATTTGACTTGTATTTAGTAAACAAAACTAAAAAAGTACCCCCATGTTAATTTTATGTCCCAAAAGCCACAAGTATTTGAACTGAAATATTTTGATTAGGAGAAAAATTAAATACAGCACACTTAATGTGGTTTAAATGTTATAGTCAAACAAATTCAAAGCTTTATGTGGAAAGAAATTATTTTTATTGGAATACTTGTAAAAATGTAAAGACAATACACAATAGCATGTACTTCCCTTACATTGTTTATTTCAATTTAAGAAAAAAACTGAAGGCATTGAAAACTGTTGACACACTAATTTTAGCACACCCAAAGAACTGTGCTTGATATGCCATGGTTGTCCACTCATCTACTTCAACTGAGTTTAACTCTTCCACTGAGGTCCCTGCGGCACCTGCAGTTTCATGGTCACTATCTGCAGAATCACTTGCACTACTTATTAGTTCCATTTCAGAATCTGATTGAAGCAAATCTGATTCAGAACTACTTGAACCACGTTCTCTTTTGCTGAAGGATGGTTTTACCAATGAGTCTATGGGCAAGGGCAACTTATCGCACTGGATCTTCTTCACTAATTGTGCTTCTGACTGATTCTCTAGAAGCAAGAGTTTTTTAGAAATAGAAACAAGCTTAGTGGTGCGTTCATTTGTTAGTCTATTTCTCCTTTTTTTGTCTTGATTTTAGCTGAAAGCCTTCCAGTTCCATTCACAAGAAGCTGCTGTTGGTGGAATGTTTAGGATCCTTAGAGCAATCTTGGAGAACAGTCAGGTGTTGCAGTATCCCTTTCACCATGTGAGGAGACATGTTCTCTGCTGCCCACCAAATGATGTCTTGTCTCCAAGGTTTGGGGTTTTTCTTGCATGATCCTCAGCAATGTCTGTCATCAAGGCTATTTCATCGATGTTGGGGACATTCTTAGCTACTTCCATAATTGTATCGAGAGCAGTAGATAATTCATCTTTTGATAAATGTTGTCCTCTGTGTTGAGGATCCAGAAGGTTTGCTGCCAGATGAACTGGATGAGAGCAAAACTCAGATCTCTTAGTAAACATTTGTTTTACTACTACTACTTCTTTTTTGGATAGAGGTGAAGAAGGCAAAAGCTTAATTAGGTTTTCATTCAGTTGTCTGAATATCTCTGGAATATTTGAAAGGCTTGGTGCATCTCCTTCAAGTTTCCGGATGGCCATTGAAACTGGTAGTAGCAAATTGAATGCTCCAGAAACTCAGACCCAGAACATATCATTGTCGAGAACTTGCTTCCAAATATTCACAGGAATAATCTGGGATACTGTCATCTATTGAAGCACATTGCAAACAGTTCTTTGTGCGCAGCAAACTATGTAAACACTTTGTAGCTGAGCCCCATGTAGTTTCTCCTGGCAATAAAAGTGCACTTTCCTTCCCCTGCTTGTCTTTCTGTATTTTTTTCAAAGCCTAATTAGCAACATAATGATTGTTGAATACCTTCCCAATTGCTTTGCAGTTTGCCAATATTGTCTTCATTGTATTCACACTTACTACAGGTTCCCCTCTATTTTATGTGGTACATGCATTCCTGGAGAATGCTGCATAAATTGAATTCACATAAAGCGAGCCTATTTTATAATGTAAGAAATAGGGATAGGTTCCTGTGTTGGCTGCTCGCAGGGCCACTCTAGCACGGGCTGGGGTGAGTGTGGACAAGCGGAGCCCTGGGTTGTGCGGGGCGTGGCACTCACCCCAGCTCCGGCTGCCGTGGCCCCAGGAGCTGCCGGCACCAGCTGCCTGCACCCACTGTGCTACACCGTGCTCCAAACCTCTGGGGCTCTGCCTGTCCCCACTCACCCCAGCTCCTGCTGTAGCTGTCCCAAGAGTGGCCGATGCTAGCTCCCTGTAGCTGCTGGGCTGCGCTGTGCCCTGGTGCAGGCAACTGGTGCTGGCAGCTCCCAGGGTTGCTGTAGCCAGGGCTGGGGTGGAGACAGGCAGAGCACCAGGAAGAGCCTGCAGTGGCCCTGGTAGCAGCTGACACAGGAACCCATCCCTATTTATTATGTTATAAAGTAGGTTTGCTTTATGCAAATTTGACTTATACGGTGTTCTCCAGGCCTACACCGATCGCATAAATGTGAATTTACCTTGCAGACGATGAATTTTGAGTACAAAAGGGTCATCACATGAGAGCAAATTTGCATAAATTGAACCCTCATAAATCGAGGGAAACCTGTATGTCCTTTGCCAGAAGATTCAACCCATGAGCAAGACAGCCAGATACTATTAAATGAGGATACTTTGCCTTTAATATTTGCCATGCAGCTTTTCTGTTAGTCGCATTATCAGTTACAAGGGTTTGTACCCTGGAGGGACCTGCACTTTCAATCTCTTCACTCTAATTTGGCTATGTATTCACCTGTATGATGAGAAAGTTTGGTAGCAATTGCTTTCAGAATATTGATTCAGGTGTTGCTAACATAATGTTCAATAAAGGATTTACTTGTTTATCAGTCCATCCATCTGACATGAGAGTCAGTAATTCTCCTTGACTAATCTTTTGAGGTAACCATTGTTTGAACTCTGTCATACTCTGTATCTTAGAGGATGTGATAAGCGATAACGTGACAGTAACTTTTATGATGGGTGAATTAGTTTGTAATGTTCTTTTCAGTATTGATTTTTCAGTAATGAAAAGGTGTACTGCTTGAGATATTAGCCCGAGCTATATTTGCATCTGCTTTTTCTTCATCTTCTTTTGACATTTTGTCCACAAAGCTTGATAAAAAGCTTGACTGTCTTGAACAGCTACTCCATGGTGGATTGCATATCTGGTGGCAGTGATCTGGAAAGCAAGGATCCTGCTTCTTCTTCACCCTAGACCTGGCAGCTCAATGCTTTCTTTTTCCATTGTTTGCAAATCTGCTATTTCACCTGAGGTACCAAGTTCCTGCAACAAAAGGAGGAAAACATTTATTTTAGCCTAGCCTAGTCTGGCCTCATCCATCAGAAGAAGCAGCAGCAGGGATCTTGTGTTCCCCTCCCTGCCAGAGAAAACACTCTGCTGCTCAATTTGCTGCTCAGTTGCTGGGACTGCAAAGCCAAAAGGAAGTACGGTCTGGCCTCTGCCATCGGCCAGAGGAATAAGCTCGCTCTGCTGGGTTGAAATAGTTAACTATTGATCTCTTATGTAATTTAAAAAAAATTGTTAAGCCTAAGCCACTTTGGGTGATAAGTGCTAGCAGAAAAGCGGGATACAAATATTTTAAATAAATAAATAATAGTCCAGAGTTGCATTAACAACTTTTAAAATTATAATGTTTTAAAACAATATAGATGCTAGCCTATACCGTGTGTTGTCTAACATATTAATTTGTTTACTTATATAGGATTTCTGAAGTAGACTTGTCTCAGATAATGTTGTTTCACCACTTGGTTGTATTAGCTTTCTGTATATGGCTTGTACGCCTTCAGGACAGTTTTACATGTTGTTAAATGTTTCTTCATTCTTGTTGCATTGATAGCATGCTCCTGCCCGCAATATTTACATCTACCAACTTTCTTCCTTCCTTCAGTGTCTTGAACTTGACTATAATGATGCCACACACTAGTTGTTGTTTTTTTCTCATTAGGCATTGTTATGACTACTTCAAAGCAAAAGCACTAGAAAACTAACTGATCTTATGCAAACACTTCCAACTTCCCCAACTCAAGAAAAGAAATGAGATGCTGCTCTGTGTATTTGCGGAACTGAAAGTGAAACAAAAAAAAAATCAGTCAGTTTTAGTTTTGGTTTTGCTTTCACTTGCAGTCTGAGATGAAATAAGGATTTTAGCTTTGGTTTTGATTTGATCTGCACAGCCAATTAGGTGAATTCATTACTTGATTTTTGGTTTGGATTATTATGCAAGTGTATTTACCCTCCTGTTTACAAATCAATAAAACATGCATGTACTCTCTCACGCTTTTCAGGGATAATCACCTGAAAAACATAAATTACAACTTTGAAACTGCCAAGCTTGTCTAATATTGTATTGGCATCCATTCATTGTTAGTAATGAATTTTATGAAACAATTAACTTTTAGAAATGGAAAATTTCCCACAGAAAAACAAGGCACTGGAAAATGTTCTGTTCTGGAAAATTTTCCGTCCCACATCCCTGTGGTTTATTGAACCTATTGTGCGTAGCTACGTAGACAATGATATACTCTGTTTGGTAATTTTTAAGCATTAAGTTGTAAGTGTAGTTTATCTCCATATTATAGTTAGTTCATCTGATTGGCATCTTGTTTTGTGTATTTGAGTTGGCCTAGTCTAGACAGGAGGACTTTGCTGTGGGAATACTATCTGCTAGAGGTGCACTGATACATTGGTCCGTTATCAGATCGGCACAGATATAAAGAAATGTTATCGTATCGGAAATCGGCCTGATGTGGCAGATAATTTGTCCAGTAAATGCCTGGGTGTGCATGTAGCTGCAGCACAGCGTGTAGGTAGTGTGGAGCATAGCCTGGCAGCTTGGAAAGCTGTGTGCAGCTGGTAAGTCTGTTGTGGTAGAAGGGGAGGGGAAGGGAAGGGGCATTGTGGGGGGCATATCAAGGCCCCCATGGTGAGGGAGGAGTGGGGCTGGGGCTGGGGCAAGCACTGCCTGGGTGGGGCGGGTGTGGGATGGAGCTACGACTCGTGCGAGGGGTGCCTGTCCCAGCTGCCAACGGGAGGATTTGGAATTGAGAGAGTGGTCTGGAGTAAAAAGGTAAGACCAGTTTATTGACTTAACAAACACAACTATGCGTAGTATAACAAGACAACAATGACAGACAATAACAATCCGCGTCGGCAACTTATCGGCAGTCCCCTCTGATGCCTGATGTATGACAAGTTTCTCTTCTATAAAGCTCAGAAAAGTTAGGCGCTCCTGATCTGCACTGTCTGAGGGGTACCAGGAAGGACCCTGGTATTCAGTCCTCTGGCTCTTTGAGATCCACTGGCCCACCAAATCCAGGTCAGCAGCTAATCTTTAAATTAGTAGCTTTTCTCACAATGCTGCATCTTCCTTCTGCTGATTTTTTTTTGGATGTGCTAGCCAATTTATAACTTCTGAGGTATGCTGTTGACTCGCAGCCCCTCACACTCTTGCATTATGAACTTTCCTTATGACTGTTTCTGATAAGGTTAATTTTAACTGCGTCACTACATACAAGGCCTTACTACTTTCAAGGCCTCACTAATCTTTTACTTTTAACTCTTAGTGGCAACATACAGCTCGCAATGTATGAACAAACAACAACAAACACCTGGTCTAATCATCACAGTGTGTTCAGAAAGCACCTTCACCACACAGACACAACTCTCAGGTGTCACAGGTGACTCCCGCCACTGTGCACTGCTTGTCTGGGAACTGCTGGTCTGGCATTTGCCTGCTTGTTTGGCAGCTCTTGCTGCTGTTCCTGCTGGAAGGGCATGGAGGGGGCGGGTGTCATGTGCCTCTGGATCTGCACAGGGTGGGGCAGGATGGGCTGGGGCCAGGGCTGGGGCTCTTCCTGGCCCACCCTGCCCAGATCCAGGAGTACATGCTCTCCACCCCCCATACTCTCCCGGACGAGCGGAGGGAGCAGTGGTGGGAGCCGCCAGACAAGTGAGTGAGCGCTGGACCAGCGGATCCTGCATGAGCAGCACACCCCCTGGATCAGCCTTAGCTCTGTCCTGCACCTGTCCTGCCCAGGCTGGGCAGCATTTGCCCCAGCCCCACTCCTTCCTCACCATGGGGGCCTTGATCTGCCCCCTCCCCCCTCTCCTTCCACCACACTAGACTTACCAGCTGCACACAGCTGTCCAAGTTGCTGGGCTGGTAATGGAAATTGGATTGGTATC